GCGGCTGGGGGGGCCCCCGGTCCCCGCCCCCTGGCGCCCGGCGGGCAAATGGCAACGCCCCCTGGCACCCGACAACCTAAAAAGGTTGGGAACCACTGATCTAGACAATATTACCTTACAACTCACATCTCTCCCCCTCCCTCCCTCTCTCTTACACACACGGCTCACTGAATGGCGGCGAGCCCTGCTCTCTAGCTGCGCGGTTCTGCGCTCTGCGCATGCGCAGATTGTTCTGAGCATGCGCAGATCGCTCCACACCAGCTCTTCTGAGGTGTAATCTACTTGCTACAGGCAAGTAGATTACAATATTTGTTGAGTCCTGGGTGTGTATAAATAAAAACTTTTCCTACAGGATGACAGAGTGACATCATCATGTCACTGTGTCCCCAAGAGCCCTGACCACATAACTGCTCCATGAAATGAGGGAGAGGGTGGTTCCAAACCGGCATGCTCTCTGGACCAGCATCCACGCTTCTCTGGGCCCTGCCCCCAGCCTGCCCGGTCCACAAACCTGCTGCACGGCTTTATTCTGTGAAGCCCAGGCTCAGGCATACTCTCCTGGGAGCTCCATCCCCTGCACACCTCCTCAGCAGCCACCTGCCTCTGCGCCCTTCCCCCAGCCTGCAGCTTGACTCTTTGCAGCCCGAGCTCAGGTGTACTCTCCCGGACCCACTGCAAGCTGGGCAGGTCTTGTATTCCAGCCACTTTCTCAGCTCTCCGGAACAGCATCTCTGCATTCTGGGCTCCCTAGGCTCACCATAGAGCAAGCTGCCCCAACAGGAATGTGCGGAAAGGCTGGGCTGGGAGTGGGCTGTGGCTCCTGCTACAGTGGCCAGAGCTGTGCTGCACAGCCCAGTGGCGTTCTTGGGGGGAGGAGCGCGCAGCTCGACAAATTCATGGGAAGGGACAAGATGTGTGTGGGGAGGGAGGAAAGGGGATAGGGTGTATGTGGAGATAGGCAGTGAAGTAAGGAGTAATGGTGGCGGTGACCAGGATACAGGAATGGAGGCAGTGTGGGGGCGGGGAGTGGATAGGGGAGGATGGGGGTGTAGGAATGGAGGAGGGAGTAGGGATAGGAAGTGTGGGGTGAGGAGGGGAGGAGTCAGGGAGGATGGTGAGTGCAGGAATGGAGACAGAGAGATCAAATTGAAGTACAGGTTGTGGGTGGGGGAAGAGAGCTAGGAATGGCCGGCCTCAGCCCTGCCCAACAGCCAAGGAAGAAAAAGCCAGAGCTGGCCCAACCTTCGCTTGGCAGCTATGGGAAGAGCTGGGACAGTTTACCACCAGAAACAGTGGGGGGTTTGTGGTTGGCAAGCATCGAGAGCAGGGGGCAACACCTCCTAGTGACACGTAAAATATTTTTCTGGGTTTTTATATTTGTCTTGTTTTTGAGCCTTTGTAGTTTACAGTTTCAGGCTTTGCTCAAACAGCTACGAAGGCCAAAAATTTACTTTTGGGGTGGGAAGGAAAAGAAAATGAAAACTGAAATTCTCATGAAATCAGATGACTCCAGGAGCTATGGCACGACAACAACAAACACCACACATCATGATTTGGCAACAATAAGCAGAAATTAGTGAACAAATGACCTATTGCCACATTTCTACTTCCGTCTTATATTTCTCCATATTATCCAGTCATCAACCATCAGATTGACCTGGTTTTAAACCCAACTGTCCTCACCGTGTTTTCATGCCACACAGAAACCTCTCTTTAATCACCTGAGCCTTTTACCAATACCCACTCAAGCAGATGAGTATTGAGCACACTTCACAAGAACTAAATAATTGGGCTATTTCAGAACAGGGTAAGAAAAGAAAATTCCCAAGGAAGCTGGCAGTCATGGAGAACACGCTACCAGTACTCCCCTCTCTTTTATACCAAAGTGAACTCAGACTGAGTGTCCCCGCTCACAGAATCATAGAACCATAGAGCTGGAAGAGACCTCAGAACGTCATCAAATCCAGCCCCCTGCTCAAGGCAATCAACCCAGCCAGGGCTTTGTCAAGCTGAGACTTAAACACCGCTAGGGATGGAGACTCCACTACTTCCCTAGGTAAACCATTCCAGTGCTTCACCACTTCCTCATCAAATAGTTTTTCCTAATATCCAACCTGGACCTCTCCCACCGCAACTTGAGACCATTGCTCCTTGATCTGTCACTACTAAAGGACAGCCTTTCACCATCTACCACTGCAAGGCAGTACCTCCCGCCCCCCACTCAGCACCTCTGAGCACCCCGTTACCAGAGCGCCCCCTTGTGCAGGACAAGAAGCAATGGGCTTAACCCGCAGCAAGGGAGGCTTAGGCTAGGAAGGTATTCCGAACATCCAACCGTCGGGGGTGAAACACTGCAATACATTGCCTGGGAGCTTGTGGAATTTCTATCCCTTGTAGTAGGGGGTCCAGAACTGGACAGACTATTCCAGATGTGGCCTTACCAGAGCCGAATAAAGGGGAATAATGACATGTCTGGATCTGCAGGCAATGCTCCTCTTAATGCAACCTAATATGCCATTAGAATTCTTGGCTACAAGGGCACACTGTTGACTCATATTCAGCTTCTCATCCACTGTAATCCCCAGGTCCTTTTCTGCAGAACTACTACTTAGC